ATTTGGTAAGTCTCGTGATAAAAATCATGAGACTCATAATACTTATGGCCTTCGTGATTCTACAAGGAGAGAAAATTCATTATATCAATCCAAACAAAGTCCAAACCCTCAATAATCAAAAAGTAAGTAAGTAAAAAAAAAATAAAAATTTGTTTTTATTAGAAACGAAGTGTTTTTGTCAAATCCTTATGATTTTCAGCCCATTTCTTGAAGCCCAAATTTTGACATTGACGGTTTAGCAGTAATGCCAGATCCTCTGAGATGCTGAGCCCATTGTAAGCTCTGAATACCACCATCTTCCAAAAAAACCCACCCAAAACAATGAAGGAAGTGCATGAACTCAGCAGCTTCTGTGTTCGCTCCCTCCACCCCATTGTTAGCGACAGGCTGTTCTCCTTCCTTGGCCAGAGCCGAGCAGGCGACTACCTGATGGGGTCTGCCCATTTCAGAGGACTTTTGGGGAGCGTGTGCTCCCACCGAAGTCAGCAGTATCTGGGGTGCTTTCGAGCAAAATTTGGAACCCTCTGGTAGCACGTGAGAGAGCCGCTGGGTCTCAGCCCTGCTGCTGAGATGGGGAACAGTTACATTACCGAGACCCGAACCTCACGCTGACCGGCCTAACTACAGAGCAAGGTGTAGCTGCGGCCCCTGGCAAAAAGCAGAAGGATAGGAGGTATTCTGTGATTGTTTTATATGGGTTTTTGAAGGAGGAGGGTGGTAAACACATAACATGGTGGCTCCCGCAAAGCCTGCTCCCAGGGCAATGTGTTCCTTTGAGACATAATTGATTCCTGCCATCAGGCACCAGCCTGCTCTCCCCCAGGGTCAGCGCTTTCCCACATCCAACCCCATTATCCCACAGACCATGCCTTTTGTACAACACACTCCAGCTATTCATGTGCAAAGCAGCTGTAATCCCCAGACCTTTCAGAGTCAATATACCAGGAAATAATAAATCCCTCTTGTGCACTCTTGAATATGCTGAGAGGTGACTTGTGGGAATTTCAGCTGGGCAGAAAAATAATAAATTCTCCTTAATTTTTAATTATTTGTAATACTCACTGTAGAGAGACTATGTCATTGGTGCATGACTATTTCAGGGTCACCCACACAAGCAGCTATAGAAATTGCTTTTGCCTCCAACAACCCTGAAAATGCAGATCAAATTGTCTCATATGTTTCTTAATGATCAAAGTCCACTTTCCTTCACTTACGCACCTGGGAACGGCGGTATATTAAACCTTCTGGATCTAAAGAAAAACTAATTAAAAGGGGTTAAACCTGTGAAGAATGTACTGTACAGTAATAAAAGACCCCTTTTTGCCAGGGTTCTAACATCTAAAGGAAGCAAGATAACGCCGTGCTAATGACATTTAATGGAATATTTTATACAATAGGTCTAATAACAACATAACCTTTTCCCCTGAAAGAGGCAGATTTCACTACACTTCCACTCGGTTAGTTCAGACAGCAGAATTACGCTCAGCTTGTGAGAGTGGAAGAAGCCAATCCTGAATAGCAAGTTCTGCAGGATAATTCCTTTATATATTGCCTCCCATGCCAAACCATTTTAAAAACTGTTTACTGTGTAGAATGTAATATCACTGAAACAGCCCAAGTAGGACACAGTTGGCAGGGTTAGGTGCACCTGGAGGCTGAGAGAAGGGATCTTCGTCTGCGACACCAAAGTAAGCAGCGACTCCTAAGTTAAAAACTGTCAAAAGATCATTAGGGTTCACCTCATAGACAGCACCCTGTCTTTTCAAACCTTACCCAAGAAACCTCTACAGAGCAAGTCATAAGAGTATGAGGATGATGAAGGGATTTCTGATGCTAAAATCCAGGAATCTTAAACATTAAGGCACATCCACCCAGCAATTGTAAGGTATGAGTGTGGCACAACACACAGACCCAATAGTTTTATCAAGCGTTCAGAGATAATTTCCACACAGATGTGTCAGCACAGGTCTACTTGGGACCCTGGTGGGTGTTCTCACTCCTGCTGTCTTCCTCAGTGATACTGCCAGTGGCATGTTACCTGGGAAATTGAGATCAGAGCTGGCTTGGTCCTAAAAAGCCTTCCGGTTTACCTGTGTAAATAAGCCTTTCCAGCAATGCTGGTCACGGGCTGGCCTGAGGAATAGGAAAAAAGCCCACCAAAAATCAGACTGCCCACAGGACAGATCCCGCAAGGCCCTGCTCCCCGGGCAGCCGTCATGACAAAGGGGTGTCCCGCGGAAGCAGCGTCTCTGCCAGGCTCCCAACAGATAAACCCCTCTGCAGGACCAGGAGAAGAGGCCACCCTTAGCCCTCCCACTGCAGAGGGACACTGTCCCCAGAGCTGCTCCTTCTCCACTTCATTCTCACAGCTGTTCCGCAGTATCCCCAACTGGTGCCAGGAAAGCACAAGGGCTGCTCAGCCCTGTCCCTACCCTGCACCACAAACACGGACTCAGCTCCCCATTCCAACCCATTTCCCAGAAGAGCAAACTGAGGCACAGTGAATTAAACCGGCAGCCCCCGGGACAGCCAGTGCTGCGTCTGAGCTCGGTATTCCTGCTGGACACCCCGTGTGGGAACCCGTGTCACTGCCCCCTTGCCCCACGTTGCCCCTTTCTCCCGGTAAACACAGTCCTCTGCAAAACCCCTGCCTGCACGGGGAAATATGCGCTTTTCAGCCTTACTGGGTGAAAAAGCCATGAGAGTTCATCGTGCCTTGACAGAAGTGCAGGCTCCACAAAGGAGTTATTAGCACCAGGCTGTGTGGGTTTGAATTTCTCTGCGTTTCCCATACTTTTCCCCTATTGATAACATTTCTTGTTGGGACAATAGAAGTGTGCCTTGCAACTACTCATGACATTAGTGACGGTGCTTGAGCCTGAATGATTTAAAGGGAAAGAATCCAACTCCCAAAAGACCATCTGGCTATCAGTTATAATACAGCAATAAAGGTCAGGGCTGCTTCTCAGGAGTTGGGAAAAAGATGTTTTTTGACACTGAAGAGTCTCTTCAGCCAGCATGGTACATGCCTACCTGTCAGCTCCTAGCTTCAAGGCCTGCCACCATTGCTCCCTCGCTAGGAAAGGGATAACACAGGTCACCAGCTTTTGGAGGAAAGCCAGCCAAAGGATCCAGGAAAAAGGGCAACACCTTATTAGAGCTGGCAAAGCCAGGGCGTAGTCTCTGAGCTGTATCTTATTTTGTATCATAATCCTTTGACTGCTTCAAAGTGTTCATGAGATGTCTTGTCTCCTGGCTTTCCCACAACGCAGGGAATAAAGGGCTCCAAGGACAACATCTGCCCTTCACAAAGAGCTAAGCCCATTCAGGCCCATACAATGAAACCCACCAAGCTGGTATTTCAGTGACACCTCCCTCCTTCCTGTCAACTGCCCATTAAACTCAGGCTTCACTTCAGGATTTCCAAGTAAGAAATTGTCTTTGGCTTTCTTACTTCACTGCACACTTCCCTCCACCGTTTCCACTTCCCAATTCTCAGCCACGCTCCCGTGCACAAGCAGAGCACTGGGAAAGGACAAGCACACCTCCGCCCCGGCGCTACGGGCTGAGACCCTCAGATGGCAGGATGCAGCACAGCTTTTCTCAGGTAGGTTCTGGGTTAGTTTCAGTGCTGCCTCAAGGACTTATCCAGGCACAGATTTTTCTCGTAAGACAAACTAAAGCATCCACACAGCTTCATTCTTTTTATTGCCTTTACCACAAAAGAAATAATGTTTGCTTAATTTTTATTAACATTTTCACACAAATACAAGAAAGCAGCCCTATCCCCATTTTCTAGATAAGAAAATGGAGTGGGGATGACATGCTAAAGGTTACACAGGGAGGCAATCACATGGTCTCCAAGATCTCATGTTCCGCAGATTGTGGCAGGTCCAGCCTGCAGGGGGGCACTGTGATGCTCCTTGGTCAGACAAGAACAGAGTGCACCAGAAGTCTCAGACAAGAAGAAGAAGTGACCTCCTTGCTGAGGTCCGAAGATGGGCCTCAGCTACTAGATTCCATTCATGACCTGCCTCTGACTTCCCAAGGCCCAGGGCTTCTGGAGTGAATCTGACGCTAGTCTTTAGCCCATCTCAACCATCATTCCTGTAAATGTCTCTACAAAAGAGACAGTAGAAAAGGGAAAAGAAAGAGCTACGGGTGTGAGAAGGCATGGGCCAGGTTCTGCTAGGAGTGTGGCTGTCCTTAACAAAGGCAATGGGAACACTGGTGCAACGGGCCCGCAGACCTCGCTGCGTGAAGAGAGAAACAGAGGTTACCATTTCCATTTGCTTACCGTTCCCTATTTATTCACCATGTCCACCTGACATCCCGCCATCCTGACTGTAGATCCTCCACAGCATTTAGAAATGTCATGCAAACAAACCTGTCGTTTCACATTGGCAGAACTTTGGCTCACCCGTTAAAAGTGTAACAACTGTATGGGACAAGCACAAACACACCCACACTCCGGGAAGCCGCACCTGGGAGCCTGGCTGTGAAGTGCCCTCTCTAGAAAGAGTAAGAACATGTCCTTGGCGCTGTTGATTTTGACCCTAACAGTGCTCCCCTTCTTCTTCTTTTCCCGCCTTCCCCCAAAAGCGTGCCTCCTCCACGCCACAAATGTGACTGGCACATGCGGGGACTCGGGAATGCAATTGATCCCAGACAACCAGCTGGAGGGTCAGTGTTTTCCCAGATCCCTGGGCAGCCCTGAAGGGCCACGCTGCACACTCCACCAGTCAGCGTGGGCAGAAGGTTATTCTCTCCAGGGCATTTGCAATCAATGTACCATGCACTAATAGATGCTTCCTCTATTGTTGGGCTGCGTGCCTGGATTGGCTGAAGGGCTGTGGGAAACACCAGCCATCCCCAGACTCACGTATCTCTGGAGCTCCCTGATGTATAAATAGAGGCAGCAGAAAGTGCCAAAGCATAGTCTTACACTCAGCACAGCAGCCCGAGGTGGGGGTCTGTGCCCAGGACTGAGAGCGCTAAGAATGGCTCCCAGTAACACTCTCATGATCCACATGGAGGAGAAACTGCTGCCAAAAGAAAAGAATAAAGTAAGTAGAGCCCTTGACAGGATCGGGAAGGCTGGTCTGCGCTCTGTGCAGTGGGCTGCCTCTATCGCAGATATACTACACGGGAAAAGATGAGCTAAGGAGGGAGAAAGTAGTCTGGGGGAAGGCAAATGGGTTAAAGAGAGATAAAAGAGACTATATCGTTTTTTAAAAATGAAATTGAGCGGGGAACAGATAGGCAACGTCGCAAAGCTCTCCTACCAAATGAAAGAGTCTTTGAACCCTTGTGTATCAGGGCATCAGAAGGGGAAATTAGGTCAGGTCTCAGAAATCCTTAACGGTCTTGCTCCACCTCTCTTACAGCTGAGGAAGCCGGTGGTGGAGAAAATGCGCCGTGACCGGATTAACAGCAGCATCGAGCAGCTGAAACTGCTCCTGGAGAAGGAGTTTCAGAGACACCAGCCCAACTCCAAGCTGGAGAAGGCCGACATCCTGGAAGTGGCTGTCAGCTACCTGAAGCAGCAGAGCCAGCTGCAGGACCAAAGTGAGTGCAGAGCATGTATTGCACTGCAGTTGAAGTCCGCTCCCACCAGCCTTTGCCCTCCCATCTAGCCCTGGCCCCCGAGACATGCAGGGGCTATAACACACCAGGTCTGGTCACACGAGCAAGGCTTGTGGACTCAGGCTCTTGAAAGAAACCTAATGCATGAATCACCACTGTCCCATGATCTTAACCCACTGCATTTGCTTCTTTCTTTCTTTTCTAGCGTTCATTCACAAGAATCTAGAGCAGGACTTTAACAGTGGATACCTGCGGTGCCTCAAGGAAGCTATGCATTTTCTGTCCTACTATGAACCCAAGAAGGAAACCCAGGTGCAGCTCATCAAGCATTTCTGCAAAGCCCAGATGGGTGCAGATGTCATGTACTCTCCTGCTCTGCGCAGTCCACCTCTGTCCCCCGGCCTGTTTGCCAGAAAGCAACCTGCCCAGAAGACTGCGGCTGCTGCTCCTACCATCTGGAGACCCTGGTAGACCTGCTGAGAAACTTTGCTTTTTTCATATGTTTTGCTACAAAAACTAGAGGGACCTGTGATGTAATAGTTCCTCTTTAAAGTAGGAAACATTGCTTTCCAAAGGTGGGAGGGGGGCAGTTATTGTTTTTCTGTGACAAGAAACGAGGGTCGCTGAGTAGTTTCCCTTCATAGTGAAGGAATGCGCTCGTATCTTGCAGCAAATTTGCTGCTTTTATTGGTGGCTCCTAGCCAAAGAGAGGACCAAGCTCTGTGGTGACGGAGAGCGCCAAATGCCGTTCAGTTTCCATCACGCTTCTGCTTGGCAAGGCTGTTGAGCCTGTGGCTGCCAGTTGAAATCTCTCTACTAACTCCCTAGGTCACTGGTTCAAGTGCTCCATTATCTCTAGATAATGTATTAACCTTCCTAAAGAAGGAGCACTTTGAAGAATGTATTTTGTATCATAAAGAGCATATTCAGCCTTTACCTTTTGAGTGAAAGTTGTTACTAAGAAATGCTGATTCTTCTGAAGTTCCTATGCTATTTTTAGTATACCTTCTTACAGAAAGTTAAGATGATAACAGATAGCTCTAGGAAAAATTCTCTTAACATCAGGACCTGCTGCTCTCACAGTTGAGGGATAATTGATGCCTTTTGTAAAGGAAATGCCTGTGATACCTTCAGGAAAAGGGAGAGGAAGGGAGGCAATAAGTACTTTATAATCATTCACTGAACGTGCTAAAGAGCTTAAAAGCTTTTATAAAGTTGTGATGTATTCATCCTGTGTGATGTTCAACTTTGGTGTCTTCACTGTACAATACAATAAAAATGGTTTTAGTCATTAATCTTTTGGTTTGAAATTATTAAAATGGCTAATATTCCTGGACTATGTGTTGCATGTAGAGTCCTTCTGCAGTGGCGAAACTATTGGGAGATGTCATATTTCTGAGCCCTTCATTCCAGTATAGCTTACATTTGTGAAATTTGTTTGGCAGAACAGGATTTCAGATCCTGCAAAGAAGCAACCTCTGGAAAAGTTATCAAAAATTAAAATGGAGGTGAAATTGAAGTGAGATACTGAGAAGTGTAGACCCAGATACTTATCAGCAACCTATTCAGACTTCAGCAAATCACTAATTTCACAACCAGTGTATTTCCCCCCATGAATTTACCCACCAACCTGAGTTCAGTCTTACGTTTTCTGTCCATTTAGGAGGTAGCAACATGCAAAAATCCTAATAACTTCCAAAGAGTTCAGCACCTGACTCCGCTTGGGAATCTCACCCTCCTCTTTGAAACCATCTGCAATGGGGTGAACTATTTTTTGTTGTCTCTTAATTTTAGCACCTTCTGTTACCTAAACATAAATTCTGTTAGGCAATAACAGAATTGCTTTCTTTACTGAAGTGAAATCTGCCCGTGTATGGCTAAAAATATACATAATTTGATAGCAAACAGATTGCAAAAGCATTCCCTCTCCTAAACTATTTCCCCATACTCTTATTTTCTTCAAACATTTTATTCTCTTTCTCTGACATCCACCCAGGCGTCCAAAACATGCCATAAATAGGGCCACACTCCACCAGGCTTTAGAGGGTTTTTTTTCTGTCCAGCCTGTAGTAAAGATGGTGTCTCTGCCAAGTATCTTTTCAATGATCCTCCCCTGATTTTTTCACCCCACTTCAATTCAGAAAACAAACCCAGCATATCCTCTTACACAGCGGTTTACAACAGCCTGCGTACCTGGCTTGCACCAGCTGGGTGACGCCAAGTGAGCAGCCTGACCTTCCCGAGAGTGCAGGACGAGGCACGGCAGCATCCCTGCGCGGTCTCGCCTCGAGCCCTGTTCGACTCCTCTGCAATTCTCTATGTAGAGGCCACATGATTCCTGGCTCCTGGGGATTAAGTCAGCTGCGCTCTGGTGATCTGAGGAGGATTAGCACCTGTTGTAAAGGATGTGTTTGTCCTTCTCCCACACAGTTACACAAAGAGGGAATGGATGAGGTGAACAAGCAAAAAGGGTTTCAGAAGGTATTTGGGCAAGCAGGAAGAAAAGCACGAGAAGGGGATTCTAAAGCCACCCCTGAGCACCTTAAATACCACCAGTCTCTCCAAAACACAGCACTTTCCCCAATAACACTCACTTTTCCTTAGAAGAGTTCCCTTTCATTGCTCAGTGGGGACTATTCACCTCTTATTTTCCTTTCTCTTCAAAGTAAAATAAATCTGCACAAATAATTAGTTCACAAACCTATTCTCTAACCACAGTGACACATTGATTTGGATATATGACAGGGAGCCCTCTCATTCTCCCAGAGATACAGTAACAGCGTGAAACACCATTGGTCAACAATTTCAACTCTCCTGGGAGAGATGCCCTTGAAAACTTTGTTTCTAGCACATGGGTTTTTCCTTAAACAAAAGGAAACCTAGAATATCTGATCTTGTCAAATGGCTGCTTAGTTAAGCGCTAAGCAAACTCAGATCCGCTAAGCCGACAGATCAAACTGCATTCCAACGCTACTAGCTGTACCTGGCCGGTCCTCACGTGATTTGGGATGAAACCCTTTCTCATACATATGGAAAGGAGCAAAAAGCCAGCCAGCCAGGTCAAGAACATATTGCTCTGCTTTATTTTGGTTAGTATTTTACCCTGAATGCACAAGCTGGTTGAGCGCTTTTCATCTGTCTGCCAACGCAATACAAGGTGGGTTTTTGGTACAGTTCTGCAGTTCATCAGGGGCTGATACCAATGCTGGAGATAGATTTGTTCTTCCTAATGAACAACTAAATAATTCAGAAGAGATATTTTTAGATTTTGTGGTTGCTTAGTGATCTTGAAAAAGTCACTTCACCTTGCTGTGCTCAACTTGTCTTTGTCAATTAGTACAAGCTTCTGAATCCCAGCAAAACGCAAGCTGTTCATCCATGCCTGTGCATTTTTAAATCAAGACTAATTAAGGCAGTTTGCGGATAGGAAGCTTGGGGGAGTTCAGACTCCGTCAAAATGCAATGTACCCCAAAGCACACCGCAGCTTGGCTGTGCACCACAGGGCCTGGGAAGGGCGTCACACATGGCACGGAGAAACCTGCTGCTACTATGTGGACGGGTATCTTCTGCAGCTAATGTGCTACCATCCAAGTAAACCACGCTGGGAATGTCACAGTCTGCAGCATCACTGCAGTTTGTTTAAAACTGACAGCATAAACGGAAAAAAGAAAAGGAAACCAAAGAAGAGCTGCAGAAACTGAAGACTGTTGGATTTGAACCCGGCCCCTCTAGTTCGAGACTAACCCAGGAACAGGCCGTAGAAATGACAACTGTGCAGAACTCGTGTGAGATCACAGTCAGACTCCTCAGCCCACAACTCCTGCCGCCCATATTGGCATAAATCTGGAGAGACACAGCTACTGTCATTCAAACCACAAGGTCTGGTTCTCATTTACACTGGGGCAGCATGACGTTACTCTGGCTACAGCGGGGGAGTCGATCGCGCTTAGCTGTTAGTGTGCGTGAGATTCAGACCTACTGTTCACAGAGCGGTGTAAGGGAGAGAAGCAGTAAGCACCTCCTTTCTGGGCAAGCGGAAGAAACCAAACCCCACCAGAAAGCCTCTATTTGCCCCAGGGAGTCAGGTCCACGGCTGGTACAAGTGCATTGCTTCTGTTTTTCGCTACAGACTTGCCCCTCTGGGCTTTAGTTTACCAATTACTTGAGAGCTAAAGCCAGACCTCTGGTTTCACCAGTCTTTGCCCAGCAAAGGTTATGTTTACAATTTATTAATTATTATCACTTCTAATAATTGAACGCAAAGCTTCTTATTGCTCCTCTATCCCCCGGGGTGACTCTCCCCTGCTCCAACACATTCCCACCCTTAGGGAAGATGTTGTTTATTATGCTGATCCCACAGCCCAGGAATACTCTCCTGACAAAGCCCCTATTAACCTCAGAGTGTGGGCCTGAGTTTCTCAGAGTTTCCCACACTTTCTTCCCCATTTATGACATTCAAAGGGACCACAAAGGAAGCGTGCCTCACAACAGCCCACATTAGTGACGCTTTTTGGCTCTGCATTGTGATGACCAGCAATTCCTGTCCCGATAGACCATCTGGAGAGCTATTTTCCCAAGGAGCACATTGATCGATCAGTATTATGCGAGAGCCCTTTTAAAACTTGGGAACGTTATGCTCTTTGACACTAAATAGGTGTCTTGAGAGGGGTTGTCAGAAAGATTTTAAACCATTTAAGGAAGGCACAGAAAAAATAAAAATTGTAATTATTTCTTTAAAAACACCATCAATAGCATTTGTAAGACAGGCTGACATGAATGTAGGAAATAGTCTAAAATAAAAATGCTCTAAAAGTGATATAGAGAGGAAAGCCTTAAGCCATCAAGTTGTGTGTTATAAGTACAGCCCCAGATGTACGGGAGCAATGCCTTTTTAGATCTGCATAACATAGACAATGAAATTCTGGTTTTCTGTACTCTTCTCTGATAGCCCACCTTCCTCCAGACCTGTTGCTCCATTGCAATACACTGTGTTCTGCTGAGTATCAGACAGGCTAAGAAAGCTGCCAATTGGTATTACAAGTAGTAGCAGCTTCTGTGGAAACAGCATGCGTAGCAGTTTGCACCTGGGCTGAAATCACCACCTACAAACCAGAAGCAGAAAGGTCCATGGCCCAGTACCAATCTCCTAGGCTAGTGGTCCTCTAGTTGTTTTGATTTATGGACTATAATGAACACAAGCCTACTGATGGTAGTCCTGGGGTTGTTTGGTCACCTTCCCTGGATCCCCTGTGGTTGTTCCTCAACTCAAAGCCACCTATGGCGCACAGAGTGCACACCATAGCTCAGAGTCAAATGGTGAGCATCTACAGTCAGAGACAATTAATACAGTGGTTCTAGCCTTAGGAAAAGCTAGGACTGCTGCCTGACATGCGATATCTGTAAGTACAGACATCGACCATTGTTGGCAGATTTCTGTTTCCCCTTGCACCCTGCAATATCTATACCAAGC